GACATCAAATGTCTGCCTGGCTATGAACTACAATCTGAAGAATTTAAAACAAAATCACAAGACTATTTTTTTTCAACAGAAACCACAATTTTAAGGTTTGTTTTTGTCTGGTGGTTTTATGAATTGTTTTTTTTTTCTCTGTATGGACACAAAAATATAATGTTGTCAAATAGGTTTAAAAAAAAAAACAGATTATTGCATTACCTACTGCATCAGGAATGAGGAAGTTGTATCCCAGCAGAGTATGGTGCAACAAGGAGGGAATAATGGCTCTCAGTCCCATTGGACCCCAGTCAGACTGTAGGGGGGTCATCCTCACAAACAGCGGCTTGTGGTTCGACCTGAGGAGCACAATTATTGGCAAACAATGTGCCAAAAATCAGCAAAGAAGCAAATGTCAAATATAATTAAAAGCAATCCTGACAAACTGCCTTTTTTAATGAAATATTCATAAAGAACTTGAAAAGCTCGAGTGGATTACCGTGTTCCTGCCGTCACGATGGTGGAGTCTCCGATGCTGGCGGCCAGGTCAGCCAGAAGCTCCACGTACTTGTCGCCACTCAGAGCCAGTGGTGGCCGCAGAGCCTGCTCCTCAAACAGATTCCCCTCGCCCCCCTCCAGCGTGATGTACTCCATTCCTAAATGGGCCTGCAGGGATCCCACCCGGTCCAGAAACCAGCTCACTGCTGCTGGGTTTGTGAGGTTCAGCTTTACGCAGAACTTTCCTCGCCACTGACTCATCACAGGGATCTGGATGGGAGGACAGCAGCAACGGGACTTTCACATGCAAGTTTTTATTTATCCCCTGAAAGTACAGTCCCACTTTATGTTGTCCAAAAATAGAGTTGTTATTTTAGGTTGTCCACTAAACACTTAGCATGAATCAATTATGTAAAGGCCTTCTAGTTTGCATCATAATTTTTTTTATTGAACATAAATTCTTAAAAAATGTATAATTTATCAGGAAAAAAACGAGTCCGATGTATTTTCAGTTAAATATTTTTGCCTGATTTTGTGATTGTCTCTGTTCTCACCAGCGTTCCCTGAGCGGCCGAGGGGAGGCTGAGCCAGAAGGCCTCTGTGCCATCCATGAGGGAGGTGTGGAACTGCGTGGTGTCCACGCCCAGGAAAGGGGACAAGGTGATGGAAATGTTAAGAAGCTTGACAAGTGGGAGGTCCCTGGTCAGTCTCTTGGACATCCCTCTCTTCCTGTTGTTGAGGTAGTCGTGGTCCTACAGAGAGACACCGGGACACAAAACAATACAATTCAACCATATGGACAAAATGGATACTGAAAACCTGCACTGCTCATATAACCTCTGTAGAAACCATTTGTGAATCGGGTGCAGACTGGCTGAAATATGTGGAATTTAGAGCCAAACTTGATGATGTCTGACTTTTGCCAACCCTCCATGACCAAGCCTTTCATCAAAAAAGTCTTTGTGCTTGAAAGCAGGTGAGATCAAGTTCTGTCTTCTGATCAAAATTTTTGCAGATTTGGTGAAGAGGKTCAGAGATGGAGCTGTCCAAGGCAAAAAGAGGTCACTTCTTGCTGTTAGGGGGTGGGGCTTTGACGATGTCTTATTACCACATGTATGCAACAGGGATGACTCATTCCAAGTTTGGTGTATTTTAACTTTTCTATATGGAAATTGCAGCTTTCTGAAACTGTAATGGACGGACGAACAGACGGACGGATTTCTAAGTACCACGCTCTGGCGACGAGGGAAAAAAGAAGGATTTAAAACAGGCCAGGCCAACCAGTAGATCGGGATCTACCAGTAGATCTTTAGCTGGTTAGCAGTAGCTCACAGAGCAATGGATCACGGAGCTTGTAGAACGCAACATTGTTTAACATCGCAGCCTAAAACGCACTCTTTGCAACGTTTATTTAACATTGCATTCTTGAACGCACCCTTGTCAACGTTTAACATTGCCTTCTTGAATAAAACTAGCAACACACTACTTTCTGTTTTATTTACTTTAAAGAAGTGAGGAGTAGGGAGACAAAAAATATGTTTTTTTGATACTGAGACTGGACGAGTAGATCTTGGCAAACTGCCGACTTCAAAAGTAGCTCTTGGTTCAAAAAAGGTTGGGCGCCCCTGATTTAAAAGCATGATATATCGGCTTTACCACGTTTCAAACAGTCTAGGGTTTACATTCAGAACAGAAATGTCAGATTACATAACTGAGGAACAAAACTTCTTAAGAACAAAGAGGCTGACCTCCGGAGGTGAAAGAGCTGTGGGAAGAAAAGGGAGATTAGTACATGTTGTATAAGTTCTCAGGTTTGGTTTTACAGATAAAGGAAAAAAAAAGATTTAAGAAGGGACAAGCGTAGACTGCAGCCTTGAAATTCCATGAAAGTCCTGTCAAAGTAATCCTTCAACTGTTATTTCTTCTGTTTCCCCTCCTGCTTGTCCGTTCACACCAACTGAACTGGAAATGGGAACATGCCGTTACCATTGTGTATTTACAGTACACAGTGAGCCCCCCCACTGCAGGACTCCTGGTCCCATCACAGCGTCCGGCTGGTGTCAGACTCACCTGCTCCTGTTAGTCTTGGCTGCGACCTCCTCGGACACCAGTTCAATCACCATCCTACAGTTACCACACTCCGAGATATCTGAGCTCTATCCGAGGAGGCTTTGTTTTGCTTTTTCACATCCATATTTGTTTTGTGAAGAAACATTGGCAGGTGTTAAGATAAATAGGTTTTGCCAAGAAGTTTCGAGAAACGCTCAAAAGAAATAAATGGATATATGTAAAACAATGAAAGGTAGTCGAAACGTTTTAATAATTGTAATTAAATTGTACTAAATGAGAATGAGATTTTAAGATTTAAGTTTCTGCACTCTGAAACATGAAAGCCTTTTTTTTGCTTTTCATTGTGACATTTCTTTGAACCTGTTCTCCCTCCTTTGATCCCCGCTTGTCATCCACTTCATAAAAACTCTTTCATCTCTGTTTCTTGCAGGTTTTGTTCCTTTATCCAATGAACCCTCACAGGCCTCTTTCCTCAGATATTAAAATGTGACAATTAAGAAAGTCAACAGCAAGAAATTATGGGAAGAAACTTAAGCCAAAAGAAACAGAATTTGAATTGCTCAGAACAAATTTGCATAACGTGAAACCAAATGCATTGGTTTGAAAATGAATTTCGCTCAAGTGAAACTGAACTGAATGGTTTGAATATTGAATTAATTAGCTCTGAAACTGTATTTTGTTGTGTTAAAAATTCAGTTAGAGTACTTTCACATTCAGTTTTATAATTCAGTTTTAATTCCAAAACTTGTTTTTTATATATTTTTTGTGTTACCCATCTGGTTGCTTGAAAAAAAAAACCCCTCGTGTTTTCTAGTATAATGCATTGATTCATATAAAATGAAGCTGTATTTTTAAACCAGAGAAACTTCCAGAAAACAGAATATGTTTGATGAAATTAGTCTGATTTTTACCTTTTCCACAGTCTTTATTGTTTTTTAGTTGTTTTTGTTCCAACTTCTAGAATAGATTGAACTTTAACCTAAATGAGATTAAAGTTTTGGAGAGTTTGCTGCTTTTCTCACCAGCTGTCTCACATCATTCAGGCTTGTTTTGAAGATAAAGTTAGTGGAGAAGATTTTATCTTTCCAGAATGGTGGAGCCTGTAATAAAATAATGATAAATTCAGGTTTATAGGTTTTAGTATAATCAGAGAATAATAATAATAAAAAATGTAATGAAATAAAAAGATTTGGAGTCAGGTTTTTGGTGCAGTTATTGCCTCTATATAAAAATAAATCAAAAAGGTGAATTGTGCAATTTGTTGCAGAACATCTTTGTGCAAAAATGGCTAATATCTACTATTTAAACTGTAGAAAAGAGCTTGCTAGGCAAAGAAAAATTGTAAGCTTTCTGACTCATCACATCAAACTGAAAATGAAATTAATTTTGGACAAAGTGATTTAAGCACATTTTCAGATTCCTGGCCTTTAAGCTATATTTTTAAATCTGGATCTTTAGTCAGGGTAACTCATTCATATTTAATCCTATTTTTTATGTTATTCTAATGAAGAATTTGATGTCATTTTGAAGAGAAAATCTTATTTGGATATTAAAATTTACCATTAGAAAAAAAAGCTTTGAAAGATTTCAGGGAAAAATATATAAAAATAAGGCTTTTCTGCTAAAGATTCTGTTTTTCATAGCTACTGCTACAAAAAAATGGTTATTTTTCAGATATTTCATTTAAACAACCCATTGACAGGATTTATTATATTTTGACCAAATTCAATTGTTGCAAATATCTTAACCATTGCACTAAAGCTTCCAATTTCTCCATGTAGTCCACTTAGTGACTTAATCCTCAGTTTGAAGTGATTTGTCACAAATGTCTTTGTTAGTAAAATATTTCATAAACAGAAGCTGAAACTGCCTGGAAGAAGACAGTTTAGTTCAGCGGACATGCCCATAGGCGTAATTAGCAGGGGGGTTAGGGGGGGTTATGAACCCCCTCAATAATTTGATCAAGTCAAAATACCACCCCCAAGAAAATGACATCATTTGCTCAAACACAATAGAAATTAACTGGTCAAGTAGACAGATGCAACTCTCGTAGTAACTTTAACCTGATTAAAGAATTTATGATGTCATATATGTACGTTTAAGCTTAATTGCTAAAAACGACAGAGTTTTAGAGCATAACCCCCTCAATGGTGGGCCTAAAGTTATGCCCTTGGACGAGCTGTACCATATCTGAGAGGAGAGTGGTGGAATGTTCGTTGAGGCTGATGACTCCCTCCCCCAGCTGGTGTCTCTTCAGACGATTAGAGAAGGTCCTCAGCTCCCGCTCCACCTTCGGCCCCGAGTCCACGTTAGCGAGGAGCTTCCAAAACGGCAGCCTGTCGGACACACACGGGCTTAAATCAGGACCTATTCATGTAGGTGTGTGTGTGTCACAAACCTCCTCTTTTCTGTGAGCTCACCACAGTGTTTTCATGTTGGGCAGCTCTCGGCTGTGCTCAGAGAGCTGTTGCACCGCTTCCTGGTGAGCGGCCCTTACATTGTGGGCCACACAGACAGTGTACTGAAGAGGAAGACGCTCCATACTAGGCAGTGACTTCAGGCAGAACTGCTGTCTGCTGTCCACCCCGAGCTGCACGGGATTATCGGGAGATACGAGCACGGCGACTCCTGCGGGGCAGGAAGCAGAGGGGACACGGGCCATTAACTGCAGAACGCTTGTCAGAAATAAACAAAGCAACAAAAAAATGCGTTGGGGACTTTGGCAGACAAAGAACAAAACAAACTGATGCACGAGAAGGATAAAGAACTTTGTTTATATGCATGATCTAATCTGAGTAATAAACTTTAAGTGTGTGAATGTTTGAGACCAGGATGGAGAGTTGTGGGAGGCAGGGCCTGAAAGAAAAACACTGTCTAGAATGCGATGTTCCCATGTTGTGTGAGTTTGGCAGCAGGTTGCACAGCAGTATGAGAAGAGTCAGGTAGTCGGGAAACGTGGGTATGCATCTGAACACTGAAACCCGAGCCCCCCTTCTGTCCCTCTTGCACGGAAAACAATAACACCTGCCACCAAGTGAGTCAGCTTAAACCTCCTCAGACCCCTCCAGCTGTAAGACTTCCCCCGTGTCTTCTCGAGAAGAGAAATAACACGATTACGCGTATCAGAAAATTGCGTCCGCAGATGTAGCTGCCCTGCGAGGAATGCCTCGTCCCTCTCATGTTACTCAACCTCACCACTTCCAGACTCCCACCTTCTCCCTCGCAGCTTTACTCTCTCTTCCCCTCCGTTTGCCGCGACATTACTCCCATCTAAGGTCAGCAAAACCCAGGCAGGGACATTAACCCCCACCCCACCCCGCCCCGACTCACATCCGAGTCTTTGAGCTGCTCGAAGAACCCCAAACTGCGGATTTGTGGTTTTTGAAGCTGATGTTTGAACAGATTAAACGGTCTGAGCTCGACCGGCCTCCCTTGCTTGTTTCAATGCGCTCACTGTTCTCGTGCACGCAGCGTCCAGGAGCGGGGCAGGGTGCTCGCGTAACGCTTTATAATCAGATTAATCGTTTCGGAGGGGCAGGGCCAATGGAGAGCCTTCGGGCCTGAAGCTAAATCTCACGTGTTTGCAACGGATAATGTCAAACAGATACCAGTAACACCTCAGCTGCTTCTCACAAGGTATTGAATCACAGCTCCACCGGGTTTTACAGATTCACGTAGTGAATATGCAACTGGAATCCTGTTGTTTCATGTGCAACATTTGCTTTATAATGCACAGTCTTGTCATTTACAAAACAAAAACACAAACTCTGCACAGAACTTGGCTCATTTTGTCTGCAATAAAACAAATAGAAACATTGGAGATGAAAGTGGGTCAGTGGAGAAACTGTTAGAACTTTAGAGAAGGATTAAAATGAAACATAAGCAGTGGAAATAAAAGCCAACGAGAGTAAAGCAGACATATGGCAACGTCTCAGAATGTCGTGCAGATGCATCAGGCTGCAAGTGTGCAACACAAGATGGAAAAGTGTAGCTCGAGTTTGCAGCCGTGACTTCCAATAACCTTTATTCTGATTTGGAAACGATGCAACAAAACCTCAAATCGACGCGACAAAAGCTCCTGCTTTCTTCTCCCTGAGCAAGCACGCGTCTTCAAAAGTTATAGTAAATCTTATTTTGTGTGTTTATACTGGCAGGATGCCTTTTTGCTGCCTAAGCACGGTTCAATAAGCCTTGCTCTGTAAGACATAAACAATGCATCTGTAAATGTGCATACCGCACGAGAGCAGGATCGTTGAAATAAAATCGAGGTTTCGAGGTGTAACGTTGCAGCCAAGGTGGGCAACCGAGGGGAAGCAAAAAAAAAGGTGGCAACCCTATTTTAAGAACAATTATTTAAAGTTCCAAGCATCTCATAAAACCTTTTCCACTCGCTGTTGAGAGGGTGAAATTATAAGCCTGACTGAAACATATCCTCTCACCTTCAAAGCAGCTGCAGCAGCAAAGTTTATTGGGCAGATTTGAATGATTTGACACATGCATTCCTCAGTTTTACAGTGGCTGAGGGAAAGCACAAGTCGAGTTAGTTTCATGCTCGTGTAGAGATGCAGGCACTTTCTCACACACACCTTTAATGGGGGGTAAGCTACAGACGTACGGGACTTAAAAGACCATAAAGGTTCAACACTACTCTTAGTTTGAAGTGAGGTGGAGCATTTTCTCAGAGGTCAGGAAAGTTTTGATGCGGCATCTAGAGGCTGGTCTGGAGGAAAGTGCTTCAACCTTAAGTATCTGCTGCTGCGGACCAGATGGGTTGCACTCCTTTACCTGTCCTATTTATCCTGTTATTTATGACACACGTCCATCTTACCAAGTTTTAAAATCTTATATCCAGCAAAAAGTCTTTTTGATCTTGTTTTGAGACTGAAACAAGAACTGATTGTGTAAGAATAATAATCTTGTTTTCAGAATGTGTAAGATTATTTGTCTTGTTAGTCTGAAAATTTGACTCAAATTAAGTCAAAGATTTCTACCAATGGAAAAAGAAAATTTTACTTGGTAAGATTCTTGAAATACTTGATTTGACTCAGTTTTTTCTTATTTCAAGAATCTTACCAAGTAAAATTTTCTTACTTCATTGGCAGAAATTTTGACTTAATTTGAGTCAAATTTTCAGACTAACAAGACAAATAATCGAATACATTCTGAAAACAAGATTATTATTCTTACACAATCAGTTCTTGTTTAGTAAATCATTCAAAACAAGATCAAAAAGACTTTTTGGCTGATATAAGATTTTAAAACTTAGTAAGATGGACAGTTTTGACTGAGGCTTTAAAAGTGTGCAGTGAAACGGTCACTGTGTGTGTGTGTGTGTGTGTGTGTGTGTGTGTGTGTGTGTGTGTGTGTGTGTGTGTGTGTGTGTGTGTGTTTAGGCATGCATTTCCTTAACAATGGAAATTTAGTTTCAGTGCCAAACCCTCAAATAATGCACAGCCACAAAAAGGAGATCTTGCCATGTTGGTAAATTTCCGTATTCACTTACTGAAAAAATATTGAACCACTGAAGAGGAGTTTTTTTTTTTTTGCTCTACTCTTTTTGTCACTTTTTACTGCTGCATTTGTTTTGTGAAATTATCTCTTTGAGTGGATTTGTTGAAAAATTTCAAACACTCAACCGATTGCATGTTTACATCAACTTGATCCTAATCCTGTCTTTACTCTAAGTCGGTGAAATTAGCATTCTGTTTAATTTTTGTGAATGAATTAAACTAATTTCAGGCCTAGAATTCCCCGAAAAAAAAACTGCCCACCACTTTTTATGTTATGCTGAGATGTGACACGATTATAGCCTCGAAAAGAAGTACTGTGTAAAACTGGATAGTTTTTGTTTTAATCCCACACTAATATCAAAACTGACAGAATTAAAGAAAATGAAAACAAAATAACTTCAAAATCATGTGATTATCTCATGTATGAAGGAATTTATGGATGTTTTGGTTCATAATGTAACTCATAGCTGAACTAATGAGGCCATTGAGACGATTTAGCTTTGTTGTTTTCTATTTTTGCTCATAACTTCCTTTAATGTTCAAGATAGAGCCTTGAAATGACCAGAAATTATTCTCCTTCTGCATTTTTTCATAAGCACTTTTAAACCCTAAAAACAAGAAAACATTACGAAATACATTCAAGGTAGCAGGAAAAATATAAAAATCATGTTTAAAAAGTTCAGATCACCAAACTGCAACATCAAATCAACTTAATGTGTCTTTTAAATCCTTAAAATGATTACCATTTGAAAACAATGTGGGCATTTGTAAAAAAAAAAAAAAAGCTCCTCAACCAATGAGTGTGTCACACAGACCCTGGCAGGAACTTTATTGCTGTTTTTCCTTCAATATCTAAAGAATTTGATAAAGTTTGTGATTTCGTCAGAAGGGAGACAATGTGGTTTCCCTTAGCTTACAGTATAACTGCAACGTCACCTGCTTCATACGGCAGATCTCTCAGCTCATTTTAGACAAAGCTTCTGTTGGCTGAGCAAGAAATTCTTCAAGTGTTTTATGTCCAACTGGTCCAGCAGTGCCCATGTTTCTGTGCCTGTAGACCTTCAGCAAACTACTGAGTAAAAACTCTGCATGATGCTTTAAAACTGCTTATTTGCCTTCGGCCCTGTCACACTATGTGTTTTAGACAACTAATGCCAACTTATGAAAATTTTAAAAATATCTACGTTGAAGATGGACTAAAAAAAGTCTACTGGAAGCCTCTTTTAGGAGTGTACATACTGTAATGCTAACAAACGGATCAATTAGATAACTTATTAGTAATTCAGAGATTAAAGGCGCAGTGTGTAGGATTTGTTGTTTTCAGCGACATCTAGTGGTTGAGTGGTTGAATCATCCTCC